GGACGTTAAGCAGTCAAAAGAAAGAGCGACGAATGAAATCACAAAGAATTGCCTTCATAACCGAAGCGATCCAAAAAGCCATCACAAGTTTCAGTCCGTCTTTTTATATTAGTGTAATAACATATTTGATTTCAATAACCGAATGAAATTTTGTATCTTTTTTGACATAATAAAATTTTATTTTATTTTATTTTGTCTATTTTTCTCTTTTAATTTTTTATATAAATTTTGATTTTTTATCTTTTCTCTGATTGTATTTATTTACCGATTAATTGTTTCGATAATTATAACAAATTTAAATAATATATTCATATTCATAATATTTATCATATTTAAGGTTAAATTTTAGTTCTAAATAAAACTGTTATATGTTATTTTTTTAATAATAATAATAAATTATCTTATAATAACATATTAATATTTTTATTAATTTTTTAATAATAAATAATTAAAATTTAATCAAAATATAATATTAAATATATTTTTAAAAATAATTAATTAAGTGACTAAATACACCCGTGGACCCTTACTGGAAACTTCAATAATAAGTGAAGTATAAAATTATCTTGTAGCTTGCAGAGGAAGGCACGGGAAATGATCACATGCCGCGCGTTATTATATTGTTAAAATAGTATTATTGATTTTATTATTATTTAAATAATAAAATTGATAAAAATTATTAAAAATATTATTATTTTTATTGATTTTGTTATTATTTGACACTTTATCGAATTTGTTAATAAAACTATTAAAACGTTATTAGTTTTATTATTTTTATACCGATTTTATTATTATTGGACAATTTACTAAATATATTAATATTTTAGATAAAAATAATAATATTTTAAATAATTTTTTATCAATTTTATTATTTAAATAATAACCAACCGTTACTATATATTAAGGGTAAAATATTGTAGAACTTTCCAGAAGGCACCGTTCGCAACGCCTTAAACAGCCATAGGTCTTTAAATATCAGTAGCTTTGCTTTTCGTTGAAGACTAACGAAATACGATTCTTTGCGTACATAGAAAGCAGTAATCAATAAGGAAAAAGGTTTCGAAATCCCTAATCTTTTTATCTTCCCAAGGAAGCAAAAGCAGTAAAAATCAAAACTCCATTTCATTCCTTTGCGAACCACGCGGTCACACGGTTTTTAGCTTCGTTTTTTTCCAGATTGTTTTATGGTAAAGAAATTAGTCTGAAGAAATAAACAATGGTGAAATCAATTGTTTCAGCTGTTTTGGAGAAGCTGGGTTCCTTGATAACGATACCCGAAGAGATAAAACAGAACGTTGAGTTGGCCTTGGCTCTTGAAGAAGAAATCGGGAAGCTGTCTGTTCATTTTCAAGATATTCAATCAGTTCTTCAAGATGCAGAATCGAAACAGGTAAAGTTTTCCTCTGGCTTTTTTGGTGTCTTTTTTATGGATGAGTTTGAAAATTGGATTTTGTTTTGTTTATATATATGATGTTCAGAGCCGGCAGCCGCATTCTGTCAACAATTGGGGCCCTATTAGACACTTTTCCTCTCAAATTAAATTTTACACAATATTTTATATCTAAAATTAAAAAAAAAGAAAAATGTTTTGACTTTTAAATTTAGTTCAAGCACCTCCCGCGAAAAAAAGCGCTTTAAGCGGTATTGAATTTCGCATCCTGTTTGGGTAAATCTTGGGTTTGAATCAAATGTTTTAAATCTGGAGATAGTCGGCTTCATTCATTACTGAAAATATTTGGATTACAAATAAATTGTTCATGAAATTTCTGAAACTATTGGAATTCAATATATTAAATGAAATTTATGTTGTAAATCTTATCTTCGTTTTCAACAGGTAAAGGATGGTAATGTGAGAAATTGGTTGAAGAAACTCAAAGATGTAGCTTATGATGTTGAAGATGTGTTGGATGAGTGGAAATCTGCGAAACTGAAACCACAGATAGAGAAAGAAGTAAAAGAAATCGGAAATTTCCCCTTGTTCAAGAAGATACGCCGTTCTATCTCTTCTCTTACCTTTCAAACTATGCTACACTATAATATTGCATCGAAGATAAAATATATAAACCAACAACTTGATTGTATAGCTGAAGAAAAAGATAGATACAAGTTTGGGTTACATAAGGACGTTGAAGAATCCCAAAGGGTAATAACTGCTTCTTTCATAGATGAAGAAGAGGTTTATGGAAGGTTTGAAGAAACTACAGTTTTAGTGAATAAGATGGTAGGGGAGAATAGTAGTGGAGGGTCAAGTCTCGATGTCATCTCTATAGTAGGGATGGGAGGGATCGGGAAAACGACACTTGCTCAACTGGTTTACAATCACAATGATGTTGAATGTCATTTTGACAAGAGAATATGGATTTGTGTCTCGGACCCTTTTGATGATATAAGGATTGCCAAAGAGATACTCGAAGCATTTAAAGGTGAAAGTTCAAAATTAGTTGGAAAAGATAACATCTTGCAGGAAGTTCGTAGCCATGTTTTAGGGAAGAAAATGCTCATTGTGTTGGATGATGTGTGGACTGAAGATGCGACAAAATGGGAGCAATTGAAAAATTCCCTCAAGTATTGCTCTCTTGGGAGTAGAATTTTGATAACTACTCGTAAGGAAAAAGTTGCTATTATTATGGGAACAATGCCATCAAACTCATTTCTTTTACATACTTTGTCACAAGAGGAATGTTGGTCATTACTCAGCCATAAAGCATTTTCTGGGAGGACAAGAGAGGAGAGCGAAAATTTAGAAGATATCGGTTGGAAAATTGCCAAAAAATGCCAGGGCCTGCCCCTTGCTGCGAGCATTCTAGGTGGTTTGCTGCAGTTCAAGAGAACTAGAGAACAATGGCAGAGGGTCTTGGATAGTGAAATATGGGACATTGAAGAGGCCGAACGAAATATTTTCCCTCCCTTGTCTCTGAGTTATTATGAGTTACCTTTAGCTCTAAAGCAGTGCATTTCATATTGTGCTGTCTTTTCGAAAGATATGATAATAAGCAAAGATGAATTGATCAAGTTGTGGATGGCACAAGATTACCTGAAGGGAGTGCGGGGTGAAGAAATGGAGATTGTTGGCGAGGAATATTTTGATGAGCTAAAGATGCGATCTTTTTTTGAGGTTTTTAAAAGGGATGAACTTGATAGTGGCATTATGAAATACAAAATGCATGATTTAGTTCATGATTTTCTTCAAGTTTTAATGGACACGGAATGTTCAATGATAGTAAATGATGGTTTTGAAGAGTTAAAAGTAGACTCGTCTTGTGAAAGGGTTCGCCATGCAACATTGAATCGTAAACAAGCTACACCAACAGAACCTAACATTTACCATTTCAAAAAGTTGCGTAGCCTCCTTATTGACTCGAGCTATCATGATACTTCATCACTAAGCCCATATTTGCCCAAGTTGTTTGATCAATTGACTTGCCTAAGGACATTAAATTTGACTAACAGTTTGTTTGGAAATTCAGTTGAAGAACTTCCTGATGAAATAGGAAAATTGGTTCACTTGAGATATCTTAATTTGAAAAACAATAGAAAATTGAAAGAATTACCTGAATCGCTGTGTGAGTTATGCAATTTACAGACCTTAAACCTAAAATGGTGTGATAGTCTTAAAGAATTACCGAGTGGAATTGGAAAAATCATCAATTTGAGGCATCTTGAGAATGAGCGAACAGACTTGAGCTTGATGGCAATGCCGAAAGGAATAGGAAGATTAACAAACCTTCAGACACTAAGTGTGTTCGTGGTGACTGATAACAGTAATGCATCTACTATTGGAGATCTTCAAATGTTAAAGCATCTTCGAGGGCATCTTAAGATTAGTGGGTTGGGAGCTGTTTGTGATTTGGCTGAAGCTAAGAAAGCTGAAATTCGAAAAAAGGAAGGCCTACGCACTTTGATACTAGATTTTGCTATTCCTAAGGGATTGATGTCAGAAAGTTTGCTGAGAACAAATAATGGGGACCTTCTTGAAGCTTTGGAACCACCTCCTTGTTTGGAAAAATTGGAGATATGGTGCTACCGTGGCCTCACCATATTCCCCAACTGGATGATGGGTTTGACCAAGTTGAGCCATGTTTCACTAGGTTCTTGCTTGCATTTGAACTCTTTGCCTCCCTTAGGGAAATTGTCGTTCCTTGAATCACTCTATATAGGGGAAATGAGAAGAGTGAAAGAAGTGGAAGTTGAATTTCTGGGTGTAGATAGAGAAGAGACATCAGCAGTACCATCATCTTCTGAATCACCTTCATCATCTAATATTGCCTTCCCTAATTTAAAACATCTTGAATTCTTTGATTTAAAGGAGTGGGAATCCTGGATGCCATTAACAACTACAGAAGAAGAGCATATTAGTGTCATGCCTCAGCTTCGTTCCCTAACTATTGGTTCCTGCCCAAAGTTGAGGGAACTACCGTGCTACATTCTTCAGAATACTAGTCTAAAGCAATTGGATATAAGTCAGAGTCCTATTCTTTCTGGACGTTGCAGGAAGGAAACTGGGGAGTACTGGCTAAAAATTTCTCACATTCATAGCATCACAATCGACGGTCTATGCATTCAAGCAAACAGCTCTTCTGTTGAAGAGTTTGGGGTATTGCAATTGCAACCAATACACAGGTGTTCTTATATTTTTATCATAATTATCTGTGTAAATTACAACACATTCAAATGTATAACTTTCCAAAATTTGTGGTTGAACTTTCTAAAGATTTTCCTATTTCTGAAAACTTTACTCCATAACTGGCATGTGATAATGGTCTACCTTTTCTGATGTTGTTACCTTGAGCTCTTGTATCTTTACCCTTAACTAATTATCTCCTGCTATTTGCATGCTTTTCAGCTCTTCATCAACTTTGGAATTTTTCCACAAAGCCTTCGAACAAAATTGATGGGAGGTATGTATGAACTATAGTTTTCTTTATGTCATTTTTGTCAAATGATCTTAAAGTTGGAATATATAAATCTTTGTTTCACCTTTCTTTCCCTTGGGCATCAAGCTGATGTTAATTTCTAGCAAGAAAATCTTACTATATTTATAGGCAATAATTAGAATGTTAATTTTATTTCAAGGCACCTCTGTAAAATTATTGAAATGCATACAATGTTGATCGTCCTTTGAAGTTCATGCGACGTTGAGGTTAATACTTTTGATTTCGAAGCATGTGAAGAGGGAATTCCCCCCTGAAAGCATTTGGGTATTGCATGGAAAATAGAGTCTGGTAATAAGTCATTCCTTGATTGTTAATGATAAATGGAACCAAGTAATTTAGTAGTTTAAAGTGTAGGCATATTTGTTCTGAAGTGCTGTTTTCTAACTACTTACCATTGATGCTGTGAAGACAGGAACTGGAATCCGAGGCAAAGTAATATGGGATGACGCAATTGGAAAGAAGGAAGGTGACTGAAGCATGTTGTATCTCTAGATTTTGTGTGGTGCCAGTAAAGGTCAACCGGCAACCAATCATGGTTATGGAAGGAAGGCAGTATCGTTCATCATACATTGATCCTCTGTGTCGAAATTGGTCGTTACTTTGCGAGTCATCCTTCTGATCTGTAAAACCCGTTGTGTAATATTCATACTCGTGTGCAACATAGCTTTTACCAGCATATTCTACGTTCATGTCAATCAAAAGCACTTCTATATTTAATGGATTGTACGACTCCTTTGCTCCTAACTATTCTTATTGATTTTTATTAATGAATAAAACCGAACTATCATTTTGGATGTTTTACCCTTCCGAAGGGTTCATGGGCTCGTCCATCCTTTGAATTACTGTTTAGAATATTATTTTTCCGTTACTTGGCATTGGGTTTGAGCTGCATTTTTATTTATATTTAATAGTTTATGAACTGAACGTGATAACCTTTTAATATTGGCATTTAATTTTTTTTTGGTAAAGTATACAAATGTTCTTCAATTATAAAATATTATTCTGTTGAGTCTTATTATTAAAAGTTATAAAATAATCTTCCGGTTACGGGGTCTTCGACTGTTAAAATTTATATAATGATTATCCGGTTATTCATTTTGTTTCAAATTTGTCTTTTTTATTAAGAAATTAGCGATCGTCCGTGTTAGATGTTAATATATTCTTTTAGACATGTTCGATCTTTGGGGTACTAAAAATAAGGTGATAAGGGATCACCCTGCCTTAGTCCCTTGTCTGGTTGAAAAAAATCAGTGACGTTCCTATTAATTCTCAAACAATAAGAGACTATATTGGCATACCACATAATAAGAATAAAGATACAAAACACATTTTTAACATGATCATAAGAAAATTTCATTCTACCTAATCATACGCTTTCTATATATCTAATTTAACAGTTGTCCTTTATTCGAACAATTCTTCGAACTTTTTAAACAATTAGAACAATTCATGATTAACAAATGAGTTGGAGGAACAACATCATCAGATCAAGGAATACGTACGAACCAATCCCATGCAAAGAACTGATTGTTCTGCACATGCTTAAATGTGTAAGTGCAACAACCTTAGGGGCCTAGATAAATACCTTGATATAATTCCCCAAGTATGCTTACCATGAGCATCCCTATTTTGCTATTTTCTCTGAATGAAACTCCATAAAGTATTTTAAAACACAAACTCTAACACTTTATAATTTCAAGATAAGTGAATTGAATCTCCAACCTTGAGTTAATCTTCAACTCATTTGAGTAGAAAGAAGTACAACATAACAAATATTTTGAATAAATAACAAGATATGTAAGAAAATAACTTTTGTATTACATGATCAACAACAATCTTTAATCCATCATCAAAAAGGTTTGTGAGATATCAAAGTGTAAGTTCAAACCTTTAAAAATATGATCTCGGGTAATAAAAGGAATTACTATGTGACATCATAATCTTTTCAAGCTTTAAAACCCAATAAACAATCGATCCCTTAAAAGGCATTAGAATTGAGTAGCATAAACATAGGAGGTGTTCTGCAAGTTCAATGGAAATTGTTTAGTGAAAAAGCTTGTGGTACACAAAACTAAAAAGCTTGCAAGAGATACCATGAATGTTTTTCAATCACGTTTTGATTTTTAAGAACCCTTTCAGAGAAGATAGAACTTGAAATGTGCTTGAACCACTTTCAAATGCACAATATTGACTAAAGATCCCACATCTTTATCATATGATAAACCAAAAAACAAGGATAATATACTACTACAACAACAAAACCCTATTCCCATATGCAATGGGGTAAGGGGGAGGTAGGGTAGTAGGTTGCCCCCAACGCCAGGTTGAGAGCAGCTTCCGTGGAAGACCTCCGGCAGTCAGAAAATTAAAAATAAAGATAAAATGCAATGCATGTATATATAAATACATAGTTGAAACAGTCTTCATATGCAGTTTTCATATGTGCGTCTGTAATAGGAAGTAATCCCTGTAAATGAATCTCTGCATAAAAATCTCTGCATGTAGACAGAAACGTAAGATGAGTGATCAAGAAGGCTCATGGCCTAGAGTAGTAACCTCCATTGCACTGAGGAGGGGTGCTGCTCTAAGGTCTCCCCAAGTGGGAGAGCCTACGCCATAATTTGTTGCAGAGGGGGCTTGCGTTCGTGCAGCCCCCACCATTTCTAAGTTGTAATCTTTTTTTTGTATTTTATTTTTTGTTAATCCACTAATTAACGTATTTTGAATCTATTGTATCGAGTGAATATCAGGACATTATTCAGTGCACTACTAATTATATATCCTAGTTTTTCATTGAATTAAATTTAATGCGATGCAAGTTTTTCAATCATTTATATTGTAGCAAAACCTATTCGAGATCGGACACTAATAAATTTTAATGTTAACATCTACATCAGACAATTTACCGAACTTATACTTCAATGACTGTTTTTTTCTTAGACAGTCTCATTAGATTTGTTATTCACAAGTATACCTATAATTCTTTCAAGTCCCAAAATCCAACGATTAAAGCATCTGTTATTTGACTTGTATATTGAAAGAATTATATTTTGTGCACTTATGTGTTTGCCTAGAAACAAGGTTCAGTGCTTTTTGAGTTCTTATTTCAATGTTTATCAATGTGGAAATTAAATATTCAGTGGAGAATACTTAACTTACTTGAACTGGATTTGTTCTGTAGGCTCTCATCTCTATTTCCTTGAGCACAAAAGAAGATGAGTTGAAGAACTCTAGATTGAAGGATTAATTGACATACTAGAAAAAACATAAATTATGAGACGTTAGAGTTTGGGTTTTTTAAAAAATCTTTGAAGCTTTATGTAAAGGAAATAATAAATATTCTAAGGGAATGTATCAATTGAATAACGACCCAATAGAAAATGAGGATGCCATAGTAAGGATACATAGGGGCTTATATCAAGGTTTTTATCTCATACAAGAATGTGGAGAACAATCGGTTCTTTGCATGGGATTGATAATCACATTTCCCTGGATCGGACGATAGTATTCCTCCATCTACTTTATCGATCATGTCATCTGATTTTATCATGCTTTATTGTCAATGGTTGATGCGTACTAATCATGCAATTATTATGTACCAGCTGAATATTAATTTGCAGAGCTTATGACTTCTTCTAGGCCAGTAGTGTTTTTAAGTTTGAGGCCTTCTTCCTGGGTATAACAGTATGTTTCTCTTATATTTAAGGTAGGTTACAAGGTGGTCTGATGAAGATATGCTTAATGAGGTAATAAGTATCTAATATTAGTCATAGAAATGTTTAAGAAGAGCTGATAATTTATTTGGTTTGGTGTCGAGTCTTTAAAATTGTAGGGCTATACCCCGAAGGGATCACTTCCAGAAATTCTCAAAGGCCAGGGCAAAACGCAGGCCTAAGAGGGGGTTTGGAAATAGAAAACCAGCAATAGACGCACCTCGGTTAGTACCCAACTAGTTGCGTCATTGCCCCAAGCGCATAGATAAGTTTAACCAGCCTTGTTAGCTCCATTTCATAATACATGCAAGAATTGTCAATTAATTACTCATTCGTTGTGGGACGTAGGAGCCAATTTATATTTTTAAATATAATGCTTATAATAACCATCGAAGGCAGCTCAACCTCAATGCCAACTGACCTCAAAACCATAGTCATCAGGACTAGCAAACACAGATCCGTACTCGAACATCCGTTCGTATCTATCCGAGCCTATAACGATTTGAATCTGAGAAACTAAAGTTGAAAATTTTGAGATTGAAAAGAAAAAACCCGAGTTCAAGAAAGTACGAGTCCAAAAGAATTCCAATATGATAAAACCCGAATCTCAAAACAGGTTGTGTTGGTAGCACGAAGAAGTGTGAACATCTCAAATCATTTAATCTGCAAATTCTTACTTGGTGTAATGCAAAAAAACAGGCGTCTGACTCCGTTGACCAGGCTCCAATAACATTGACAAAGAGCATGTGGTGTAGGCCGGCAATCGGAGCCTGTCAAGGGATTTGCTGTGTGGTGCGAAACAATGCTGAGGATATGGCTTGATGCTTATCAGATCACTCGCGGTTAGCAATTACATCCCAAGGTTGCGGAGGCTTTTGAGATTTGTAAGCATGATCGTGTTTGTTTTTATTTATCCGAGTTTTATTAAGTTTCTGTTTGAAAATAAAAATGTTAATATTGATTATTATAAATAATAATAATAATAATAATAAAATTAAAAGATATAATTATTGTTTGATGTAAATAATTTTTTAAAAATAAAAATTTCTGAATTGATACAGTTGAAAATATAAACATTATCACTAAAGTCGATACATTTTTCTTTAAAAATTTCATAATAAGAAACTTTTAACACAGTTGGAAAGGAAAAACACACAAGGCCGCATAAATAGGCCCGTCTCTTTTACGTCCAATTGGAACCCAAATGAAAGCTCAACCCACAAACTTACCAAAGACCTAAAGAATTCAAAAGACTTTTCTGTGTGGGGATCTTTCCAGAAGCTCATATCTTTCCGGATATCGCTAGTCGTGGTTGGGCCGCTCAATTCCATGGAGAGAAAATAACCTCAGTGACCAAAAATTTCATATAATATACGATTTTAACAAATTTTTTTCGGATTTGCCAAAATGACCAACAAAATCGCAATGCGATCGCTAATTCGCAACGCGATCTCCATTATCGTAAATCAATTTCCAGATTCGCAACGCGATTATGACTATCGCAATGCGATTTTCCAATTTCGCGTTGCGATTTTCCCAATTCGCAATGCGAATAAGTAAATCGCAATGCGAATTTGGAAAATCGCAATGCGAATTTGGAAAATTGCAACGCGGTACTGACTATCGCAACGCGATAATACAAAATCGCAACGCGATACTGACTTTCGTAACTCGATACTTAATTTCGCAACTCAATACTGACTTTCGCAACGAGATAATACATAATCGCAATGCGATTTTCAAAGCGCCATTAGTATCGCAAAGCGTATTTTATTTTTAAATTCCAAACACGAATATTAATATATTGGAACACTGAACCGTCCACAGTATATCCCGTAATCGCAACTCATAACCTAAAACCTAAAATCACAACTCAGTCCCATCTCCATCTCTCACTCTCTCACCCATCTCCGACGAAATCCGTCCCCATCTCGGGCGAAATCCGTCTATCTCCATCTCTCAGAGCCACCCTCACAATCAGAAATGGAAAATCAACCAAATCAACCACCGATGGTTAGTTTTTTTAATTATTTTCTTTTTGAAAATTTTGCATTATTATTAGGTTTTTCATATTGAAATTGATGATAAGTTTACTGGTAATTTCAATAATATATTAACCATTTCACTTAGATTGCTTATTAAATCAACCGAGAATCGCAACGCGAAATGAAAATCGCAACGACAAAATCGCAACGCGATTTTATTCTCTCGTTGTGATAGTCAAATTCGCGTTGCGATTGTCATTTTCGTGTTACGATTTTCATTTTCAGAAACTATTCTTCTTCTGCAAATTGAAACTTGAATGAATTGCATTACTTCAACCAAAAAACAAAGACAAATAAGAAATTCACAGTGTTGCAAATTTAAGTTTGAAGAATAAACTACTACTCTTTATGTTTATTATTGTTTTTGGTATATCTTCACAGTGTAGTTTTTGGTATATCTAACTTAGTATGTTTATTGTTTTTGTAGAACTTTTATTCGGCTCAATTGACCTTAAGAAATAAAGTCAGCCTGGCCAAAACAATTGCGTCGAAGCTTTCACCTGCACAAAGAAAAATGTTTGAGGATACTTGCTTCGGGCCATGGCTGAAAGTACAACATCCCGGTGGAGATGCGATGTTGACACACCTGTTTCTTCAAACCATGACTAGGGATCTACCAAATACTATACAACGTCGTGATGAAGAGATATGGTTTGATTTTCCACCGGTGTATACGTGTTTTGGGCGGGAGGAGTTTTGCTTAATCATCGGTCTACGCTTCGGACACGATGATGTAGGTCGGTACACTAGACACATTACCCGCCCATCATGGTTATCCCGAGTTTTTCCTGAGCTGGAGAGGCCGAATCTACACGTGGAAGACCTGACGATATTATTGAATAAGAAAGATGGTTTTACTCGGATGGATGACGTCGATGTTGTCCGAGTATGCCTTCTAATACTTTTGCATGCTGGTTTTTTAGGCAGAGAGGCCAGACAACCTATTCCGAATGATCTAATCAAATTGGTAGAAGACCTAAATGCGTGGAACCTGTTTCCATGGGGCTCGTATTTATGGAAAGCTACATGGAATAAGTTATCGTCTGCCTTGGATGATCGAAAAAGTTTGCATGGCGATGGTTCCAAATACACTTTGACAGGCTTTATTTGGGCCTTTAAGGTAAGAATTTTTATATAATGTTTCCAAAACTATAAGTAATTATTTAACAATTACTAATGTTTGTTATTATATTGTTTGTAGATTTGGATATTTGAGGCCTTTCCCGCCATGAAGACATATGCAATAAAAACTTCAAATGATATTCCCAGGGCTATTTCCTGGAAGAGGAAACGGACCTTGCAATGGGAAGATTTACTACGGTATACGACAATAAATAATGTAAGTTAACATAAATACTACCATATGTTTATAAACAAGTTATTACTAGTACACGTTTAACTTTGTTTGAGCTTTTATATTGTTAGGAGGCCAACACTTCATTACAGAGGCTGACACCCACGGAAGCTGAGCTTGCCACTGATTGGTGGCAAGCTAGTAAGCGTTTTTTTATGGCACGGATGATGAGCAGCCTCCACTTCGGGAGCCATCACCTCACCCAGAGCTATCACCTCACCCAGAGCCATCACCTGATCGACCCGACTATACACCTCCACAACGACAGCCATCACCTATTCTATCACATCATCGAGCCTCTTCTCCACCATCACCGCAAGATAGGTGACCAACAAAGATGCCATGACGTTTATCTCCCTGTTCTCCACCTCCACGGGATGAGTTAGGAGAGTTACGTGATGAGGTCAATGCCTTGCGTGAGGAGGTCGGTACTTTACGCAAAGACGATGGTGCATGGCGTGTTGAGGTGTCTACTTTACGCGGTGAGGTAGCCGCTCTACGTGAGATGGTAGCATCGTTGCAGAATAAGGTTCATACTCTACGCAA